GAGAACTGGTGTATTCAACGTGGTATGGCCGTAAGCGAACTTCATCACTCTCAAACTCTCTTATAAACTTCATTTTCAAACACTTTTACTTAAAAATCTTTTTTTTCTAATATCTATACTTATCATTTACTATTTATCTTTTCATGTATAAACAAACCATTAGTCTTTTTTAGAATTTCTTTTCTTATACACAGCAACGATTCATTTCTTATTGTAGTTTTCTCCAATGGGTGGTTGCACATAATTAGAGATTTCCGCAAGTGCTAATATGTTAACTTATGGACTCACTTTGTTTCATCCTTTGATACTTCACTCAAGAAACATCAAAACTTTTATAATCACTAATTTTCTATAATAAACTAGATTTCAAGTATTCTTAAGCACTCTCGTTAGACAAGAGATATCCACCAACTAAGCTGAAACATAATGGACAACAGGTAATCGAGAGTATGAGTATGGATCTCAGTTAATCCTAACATCCACACTAGCAATAGGAATATGTTATACTATGTAATTTAATATATAGAAATATTTTTTGTCATTTAGATAAAAGCACTTCAAATAGTATGACTAAGTATCTTTTTTCAAGCTAGTTTTATCCATGTCAATGATGAAATAATATATCACTTAATGTTATTTATAATTACTTTAATTATAACAATAACATTGTATCAGTTTTTATAAGAAGCCATTTAATTGTAAACATTCACTTAATTTTCCTTCTAATCTAGCCATATCAAATCAATTCTATTTTTTTTTCTTATGTATATAATTCGACGAAATATTTCATCTTGTTTTTGTTTTATTATTCACATATCAAAAAAGAAAAAGAAAGGAAAAAAAAGAAAAAAAAACAACTTGACAGTTGAGAAGAACAACAACAACAAAACCAAAAATGTTCAAGGAAAACGACAATGAATAAAAAAAAAAGAAAGAAACAATTTAAACCGAAATATATACGGTTCTTCTTGTTTAGGTTTTTTTGTAAAAAGGAACGTGAAAGAAAGAAAGAAAAGAAAAGAAAATGAAAGAAAGCAAAGCACGCCACAAACAACACAGAAAAAAAATGATAGAAAAGATAGAACCAAGCGCATGCTGATGAATGAATAATATCTCAAATCTATATACATACGCACATAAGTTCTTCTTTGCCAAGCAGAAAAAATAAAATCGTTCCTGTTTCAAAAGTAACTACTTTTATTTGCTTATATAGGAAACGAACGGACATACACACAAGCAAAAAAACAAACGGAGAAGGTTAATAGAGTGTGTATCAAATATAGACGTAAAAAAAAGAAAAAGAAGGACAAACGCAAAGAAAAAAGAGAAAAGAAAAACATGTACAGACAAAATCAAAAGTCAAAAAGAAACATATATTAGCGTATTGATGGATCCTGTGATGGTGGTTGTTGTTGTTGTTGAGAAGGAAACTGAGAAGGTCTTATTAATGGTGGTCGAGTTAGATTTGGTGCTGAACCTGTTCGTGCCATATAAGTTGGTGGTGGAGTGGCAGAATTTGATCTTAATGGTGCTAAAAGTGTTTGTGGTGATGATTGATTTTGTGTTTGTTGAGGCATAACAGGTGGATAACGAGCACGTGTTGCTGTTGTATAATTAGGTGGAGGATTAAATTGTTGTTGAGATGTTGTAGAATACCATTGTTGTGGTTGTTGTGTTTGTTGTGGTTGAATATATGTTGTGGATGGTAAACGATTAACTGGTGTTTTATTTATTAATGAAGAAAACATCGGTTGTTGTTTATTTTGATCATTTATATCTGATCGTTGTTGTTCATCCATTGATGGATCTTGTTTAACTCGATTAATTAATAAACTTAATTGACTTGGAGACTGTTGTTGAGATAAATTACTAAGAGGTTTACCATTATTAGGTTTTTGTGGCATAATATATGTTTGTTGTTGTGGTTGTGGTTGATTATGCCAATTAGTTGGCTGAGGTGTACGAATAAGTGTTAATGATGGTTTACCTGTCGAATTATTCATTGATTGATTTGCTAATGTCGAATCATACGTTGATATATGAGATGAATTTGGTATCGAATCAGTACGAGATGGAGTTACTGATACTAAAAAATAATTTTAAGATTTGCATATATGAAAAAATGATCTACCATATTCAGTTTGTAACTATTTCATTATCTACTCGGATAGATATATTGAAGAAGATAAATAAAGTGAATATGGCACCTTTTCATAATACTTTAAGATACATATCTTATTGATAGAAAAAATAAGACGTCGAAACTGATTTTCTCATGAAATCTACGATTTCTTTTTACAATTAGTTTATCGATCTTTGTTTACAATGATCGAATTAGAATTTTTCAATAATGACATAACATTACACATAATCTGATTTAATAGAAAAAAAAAGAAATCATTTTTTCTCTATAATTGAATAAATAATATATTTTTTCGTTCATACTCATCATTTAAATTTTGACTCAATTATTTTCCAACTAATAAACTATTTCTATATAATCAGACTATCAAATTCTACCTTGTGTTGGCGGTTGCATTGTATTCGTTCTTTGTTGCATCATTGCTTGCATACGACGTCTATCTGTTTGTAAACTAGTTGCTCGTTGTTTTTGTATTTTAGTTTTTAAATTTGTACAAAATGGTACTTGACAATTTTGATCCATACAACTTTTCGCATGATACCAACAAAGAAATATGACTTGTTTACATACATTACATTGACTATTTTTTCCTTTACATTCTTTTGTATGTTGTATAACACGTTTATAACGAAAACAACTTCGATTAACACAATTAGCATTTCGACAATTAACAGCATGTAATAATGCTTCAATACAACGTTGCATTGATTGTTGACGTTGTAATTGTGAACTTGCCATTGATTTACCATTTGGATTCGAAGAATTTTGATCACAATCTTCAATCATTGATGGAACTGAACGTTCCATTTTATGTTCATGTTTTGGTTCAATATTATAACATTTTTCACATAAATCAAAATCTTCACATACAGTACAATGATAACGAATTTCACATTGTTGTCGACATGTATTACAATTATATGTAAATTTATCTGTTGTTGATGTATGTAATTCATATAATAAAGCCATTGTTGAAAATCTTGCACGACGTAATGAAGAAAATTCATAATGTTTATCACGAGCAAAATTTAAAAATGCATCTCGTGTATCCATTAAATCACATTGTATAAGAGCATCAGTATCATTTACAGCTGGACATGTAGCAATTGGATTACGAAGACGAATAACAAAAAATGCCTAAAAATAATTTACGTATAGAGATTTTAATATTAAAAATAAACGAATTTACTTCTTTATGTTTTTCCATCGTTGAAAATATTTTTGATAATAAATCCGTACAATTAGACATTTGTTTTTTTGCTACTTTTCGTTGACTTGATGTTGTTTTCTTGAGATTTTTCTTTTTATATGTCGTTGTTGATTTACGTTTATCAGAAATCTATTGAATGAAAGAAAAAATCAATAAAAACGAGAGGAAAATGTTTTTTTTCATACATCTGTTGAATCTTCTGGTTCACCTGGATCATCGAAACCACCATCTTCCATAGCACGTGCTGCTTCAACTTCTTGTTTTCTTCGATCTTCTTCTTCTTGATCAAGTTCTAAATATAAATGATATTTAATTCAATTTTTTCATAATAAAAATATGAATAATTTACCTTTAATACTTTCTTCAATAATATTCGACCAAAAATCACCTTCAAAATATGGAATATTAAGAGCAGTTTGTACTTGATTATCCAGACAATCTTTCATTACATCCTAAATATATATATATTTATTATTGAAAAGAATATTTCAGTATTTATATTTTACCTTATAATCAATAACAACACGTTCTAAAATAGCTCTATCAAGCATTTTTTTATACCAATCTTGTAAACGTTTTGGTTTTGGTACACGTTGTTCTAATGGATGACAATGAAATATATAATCATCACCTTCACTTGGTGGACATGCCCATATATGTGCATAAACATAACCAAGTTGTTTTGCATAATCCAAATATCCAATTAATATTTCATGATAAACTTCTGTACGATACATTTTCGGTCGAAAAAAATGTACGGAATCGAGATAAGATACATAAACACGTCGTGTATTTGGTGCTTGACATCGTCCATCATATTCTTGTACATGCATACCAAATAAAACAACATCAACACCTTCAATTTCTTGAAAAGCAAATATAGCTTTTGTTCGATATGGATAACCTTCTGGTACTTGATTTGGATAATATTTTTTTAAACGTGGTTTTACTTCACAAAGTTTATCACTTGCTGCTAATATACGTATTGTTACACGACCTGTTACACAACCTTCATTGCGTAGAAAATCATTGACACGTTGTTCTAAACGTAATGCTAAATCTGTTACTGTTAATTTTGGTGCTGTAAAACGATTTTCTTTACGTTTAATATTATAATCTCGTACACATGTCGGACATATAAAACCTTCTGGCCATACTTGATCTAAATGTAATGCACATACTTGATGCCAACGACGTGTACAAACAATACAATCAACACTAGCTTCAGGTTCTTGTATATCATTTTTAGATAATAAAAATAAATTTTTTGGTATTTCAACTAATGATTGAGCTGGATCATCACCGACACATATTGAATCACCTTTAACTGAATCAAAACATTTCGAACAAAATGTATATTTATCACCGGATAAATTTATACGTGATGGTTCCGGATTGTTATAATAATAATAATTACCATCACGTGGAATTTGACAACATAATTGATTTCCATAACAAAACATAACTTGTGGTAAATAAACATATTGACGACCACAACAATAACCTAATTCTTCAATAATAGGATCAATTGTATCAGCAAATACTTCGGAAAGTTTTGTACACATTTTATAAACACGTGTGGTTTTTTTATTATAAAGCCAAGCATTATTAAACATAAGCCAAGCATCATCACAAAATTGTAATGGAGTTCGATATTCTCCATGTAATAATTTATTATGCATTGTAGATATATCCATTGGATGTTTAATTATTGATGGATAATCAAGAATATTCAATGCAACAGGATCAACTGGTTGTCGAAATGGATGAGAATCTTCACAAGCTATCATTTTGTGTATAACTGGTTCAAGATGTGCACGTAAATCATCCGAAGAAAATTGAACAGGATGTTTTGGTAATTGTTTACTTGCTGCATCAATTTGAGGAAGTTTCGATTTTGTCTCATCAGTAGTTGATGAATTAATTAATGGTTTTGTTATTACTGTTGCTGTTGTTGCCGCCAAATTTGAAGAATAATTATCACCTATTAATTCTTCTTTTTTTATTGTTGGAGGCTAAAAAATAATTAAAAAAATATTGCGTCAGATAGTTCAATATGAAAAATCTCTATTCATGTTTTTTTCGATTAAATATCTGATAATTAACATATTTAATTCCTCTATACATTAAAGCGATTTAATACAATAGAAGAAGAAAATTTTTTTTTCTTCAATGGTTTCTTTCGAAGGTATCGAAGCCTACTAATCTTAATGAAATTTCTAATTTATATAAATATTCTATCTTTTTTGGAATTCAGACAACATACTTGATAAAGATTTTTAGGTGAAAGTGGTTCATTTTTAAATTGATTTGTACCATCTAAATTATTTCTTGTTGTATCATGCATATCAATATCATGTGATGGATTTACTGTTGACATAACACCATTTAAAAGAAAATTTAAATTTTCATTTGATGGTACATTTGTTACTGCAAATGTCGTCGATGTGGGATTATTATTATTAGTATTTATCATTGTTCGATTTGTTAATGTTGTTAATGGTTCAGATTTAATTGTTTGTGATTGAAGAAGATTTCCTGCTGCTGCCGCTGCTGCTGATGTTGGATAATCAATTATAGGTGCTGTACGATTTGGTGGACCATGATCACCGGCCATTGTATCCATAGTTGAATGCATTTTTCCATTAAAATCATTTGTTGAAGATATTTGAGCTGTTAATTGCATATCTTGTAAACGTTTTTTTTCTCGACGATCTTCTAATTCTTTTTGAATTTTATATATTTTTTCCGCTAATTTATGAAAATATTCTTCTTGATTATTTGCTATTTCAAATGTTTCATTTTCAACACGTCGTGCATAATTAGCTAAATTAATAATACGTTTATCACGTACAGCACCTGTATCAGTTATTGGTATAAGTGCTGTTATTATTTTTTGTACAAGATGATTACGCATTTCTTGTGTTACACGTCGTTGCCATTCTTTATTTATTGTTGTAGATGTTGTTGTTGGTGGTGGTAGTGGTATATTTAATTGTTGATTTAAAGAATTTGGATTAAGATTAATATTATTAATAGTATTATTATTATTATTATTATTATTGGATGCTTGATTTAATTTAGCTAATGTTGAAGGAGTTTTAAGTGGTTGACATATTGGACATTGAGGATTATTGCATTGTTTCCAATGTAAAATAATTTGACGTGAAGTAACACAATGTGGAACTGTACATGTTTTATGATCATTACATTTTGTCATATGTTGTAGAACACTTTTCATTGTACTACAATGTGGTAATGTACATGCATTTGGACGTGTTGGTTCACCGTTGATTGTTTGTTTTTCACGTTGTTGACATTTATGTGCATGTAATAATAAAACAAGTTGTTTTTGAATAAATTGTTTTCGTTGTGCTTCTGTATGTTGCTGAGAATTATTTGTTGATGTTGGAACATTTAATGGATTTGATGATGAAACATTAGAAATAGATTGTTGAACTTGTTGTGGTTGAGTTGTTATAATATAATTTGCAGGATTTGTTGATGTTTGATCCATCATGGGAGTCTAAAGAAGAAGAAAAACAGTCTATTTATTGAATATTAATTTTGACATACTCGAATATTATAGGATTGAAGAGAATTTTGTTGTTGCTGCTGCTGCTGTTGCTGCTGTATATGCATTTGTGTTTGTTGAATTTGAAATTGATTCAATTGTGTTTGTGACAATGAAGGTAAACCTGTTGAAATTGGTTTATTTATTTGAGCTGTTTGTGTCACTGTATGTTGAGGTTGTAAACTAACGAGCGTTGATTGTTGTTGTTGTGGATTTGTAACAAATACACTGTTATTATTAGGATCACTTGATTTAACAATGCTCATTTGTGTTACATTTTGATTCATTGGAACCATTCCTGTTGTATTATATTGTTGTCTAACAAGTGTTGATGGCATATTTTGTTGTTGTTGTGGTGGTGGCATACGTGGATATACAGGTCGTGTTGTATTGATCATTTGTTGTGGAGAATATGAAGTTGTTTGTTGTTGTATACCGTTTGATATAACATTTGATGGTCGAACAATAGTTGGTGTTGGCATTGTTGGAATACGTTGTAAATTAGGTGTTTGATATGATGATGACTGTGGTCGAGTTTGTGTAATATAATTAACTCTTTGTTGTTGTTGTTGTTGTTGTTGTTGTGCTTGTGATTGATATAGATTTTGTTGTTGATTCACTGATGTAGCTGTTTGTTGTGTATTATCAAGTGGATCATTAAAATCATTAACAATATCAAATAAATCTGGAGTATTATTTGTCTCGGGTGTATCAAATGGTGACATCATTTTATTATAATCAAAGTCTAAAAGAAATAAAGAAAATTGTTTTGATTAATAATTGATTTAATCTTAAATACCTGTTTCGTTTGTATTCGTACCCGAACGAAATTTTTTTGTTGGTGGTGGTTGTAGACCAAATAAGTCAGCCATCATCCATTATGTAAATTCATCAATTCTATAAACACCAATTATCTATAATAGATTAAATTTTATAATTTACACCCATTTTTTGTAAATATTTATTACAGATACTCCTACACATACGTCCAAATCATAGAGCATGCATAACATACAGTACAAAAGCGGAAGTTCTAGCGACAACTGGTGGACGAACGATTGTGTTATGGTTGTGATTGGTGAGACGTTTTTATGAAATGCATTGATGTCTTGTATGAAACATTTTTGAAAAGGTTGAAACCGTTGTATGGATTGATTCGTTGAGTTACCAATAAAAAATTTTTTTGTTTTAAATCAACAGCTGATAACAGAGAAATTTACTAAAACAGAATGAAATGAAAGTTCTGATATGGCTATCGCATTTTATATGCTGAAAGGAGACAAGAATGAATCATGTGGAGTATTTCTGGCTGGGTCAATAGAGGTATAATGAGATAGAGGGCGAAAGTGGAGTATATGGAAAATATTATAAAAAATTTGACAACGACAGAAATAAATTATACATCAAAGTCTCATGTTATTATTAATTATTTTCATATTTTATTAAATAAAACATCGCCCGAGGATACTGATTATCTGTCATAAATTTTTACTTTTCGTAGAATATTTGTGTAACATTTTATTTATATACATGAACTACAAATAATATTCGCATTACTTCAAAACATCATGATCTATATATACAATCTAGATAAACCTTTGAACTTTACTTTCTTTGTAAAGTGTAAACTAACCTATAATTTTCTTTTTACAGCTATGAATAAAACATTGGAATACACAGCATGCTAAATTTCAATAGACTATATGATTATTAGCACAATAGTTCAGTGACGGATTTAAGAAGGGGGCGATCGCCCCCCCTCCAAATCTTTTTTGATTTTGTACAGCAAAAATTAGGTTCACACTACTTCGATTGGAATCAAAAAAGCTTTTAGCCAAAATCGCGCCCCCCCCCCAGGTATTGCCCCTTCCCCCTTCCAAAATTCTAGATCCGCCACTGCAATAGTTCTTTATAGATTGTTTCCTTTCGATTATATATCGATAAAAACGATACAAGTATTTAAATCACAGTTTAGCGCGTCACCTTCGATGCTGTAAAATTAAAAACCCCATGTTTTATGTATCAACACTGTCGTTCTATACAACTTGGTTCTAAATAATGCTTTCTATCGATTGGAACAAATTGCATTGATTTCATTTTGTTACTAATTAATATTATATGAATTTTATTCTTGTTTATTGAACAAAAAAAACTATACTGTATATAACCGAGATACATATTACTCTAGAATATTGACATATAAAAAAATAAAATATTTAATAAGATTTCTATTTAAAATAACAACTTATTAAATATACTAAAAACAAAAAAAAATAGATTATTTTAAAATATTGTTTTGATTACAAAAATAGATTTTTCTTTTGTTTTTCAATTATTTGTTAATATTAGATGATGGTTTCGAAATTAAACGTTGTGTTATTCGTGTACGATATTTTTGATTATGATAATCTTTACATAAATGACCACAACCATGTGAACATTCATCATGTGTTTTAAACCATGCTGTAATATGATCGATATGACCACCATGAAAACAAATACCACAAAATGTAAATAAAACACGACATGGAATACGACTGAAAAGAACAAAATTTCAAAAAATAAAGAATAATAATAGTAAAACTAACCAAATAGAACATATAAAATCTTTAGAATTCGATGATAAACTTTTAGAGTTAGAAGAAGAAGATGTAGTAGGAAGAGGATTAACTGATGGTACACGTTTGAGTGTTGATGTTTGAGCATTAAGTATAATTGAACCATCAAATTCATTTGTATTATAATTAAGTGGAATACCTTCATTTTCTATACAATGTTTTGTTACTTGTTTTGCTTTAACAAATAGACGCATTTTTTGTAATAATTCTAAATAAATAAATGTATAGATTATTATTAATTAAAAACGTTACTAATCATATATACCAATATACATAACAAGCCATTGTAAATGTGCACCATTAAATAATTCCTTTCGTTTATGTTCAGTAAATTGTGGATATAATGCAAGAAGTAGATGAACGGCTACTTGAAGTTCATTCTAAATAATCATAAAAAAAGCAAGAATCTTTCACTATGTATCAATATATTTAATTTACATTTTCAATATAATACCAAAGTGTTTGTCGAATAATTTGATCAAAATTTAATGGTTGATTTTGTATTGTAAGACTATAAGAATCATCAATTGTTAAAAATTCATCTGAACCATCTGGATTAATCGAATATGTAGATACTTGCATGTTATTATCAATACTAAAAACAAAATTTTTTATTGAAACTATCAAGTGTTTTCAACGAGTTTAATATATATATTAGATTTTATCTGCGAAGAGGATTTAGGACAAGGAAAGATGAAAAACTAAGCTAAGAAGCGAAATTTGCAAATTGCGCTTCATTAACAAAAGAAACTACTGGTTCCACCTGATCCGATTTTATGAATGTTTTAACATTGTTAGATCCATTCAACCAATAGAATTGTTAATGAATCTGGCAGCCAAAAATGGCTTAGTTAATTGAGTATACTTCTTCGTATCTAATCATGACAGAAGAGGTCGTTTAGAGTCTTGCGTTGGGTTTCAATTGATTTTGCCAATGGACACCTAACTAGATCCAACAGTTGATATATTAAAAGCTCAATATCTGTACTGAATCTACTAATAGTATATATATATAGTCATCGTAAGAACTTATTCCTTCGTTTATTTAGTAACAATAAAATGTATCATAAATATTTGTTTATATTATTCAAAGAGTAAACAACAGAGACTTCAGGCATGAAGTCTCGTTAAGTCTCACGAAATCATTGAAGTCTTTGAAGTCTTTAGAAGTCTCATGAAGACTTATGAAATCTTCTAATATTTTTATAGATGCATTTATTTTACGGGGAGACGAGGGAGAAATAACAGAGACTTCATGCATGAAGCCTTGGAAGTCTCTTGAAGTCTTCGAAATCCCTGAAAGTTTATGAAGTCTCTTGAAGTCTATGAAGTCTTTTGAAATCTGTGAAGTCCGTTGAAGTCTCTTATAGTCTTCTGAAATCTTTCGAAAAAATGAAGTGTAGCTTATTGAAGTCTTGAAGTTCGCTGTTCCCTCCTTGATATTACTACCAATTTATTAACGTCATTCAACATATAAAATACTTTTTCTTCTCAATAAAGAAAATAATTTCAACTTACTCTTCACATTCGTCGTCACTTTCTAATTCAACACCATCTTCAATCATCATTACTTCAGGAAATTGACGAGTTATTCGATCTGTTGAAAAAATATTATAATCATCATCATTATTTATTGCTTGTAACATTTCATCTGATATTAATGGTATTGAAAATGAATCTCGTTTTAATTCATGATCAAACTAATATTAAAATACAATATTATTCTATAAAATAGAAAGAAATTTTTTTCAAAATTTACATTATAACCATAAGGCATATCATCAACATTGTCATTATTCGCAAGATCTTCAGGTGAAATAAAAATGATATCATCTGTGAGAACATCTCGAACAATGTACGTATCTGTATCATCAATCATCACTAAAAGGAAAAGAAAAATAGCATACTGTATGAACATCCAACTACTTTCATCTATAAATTGAATTAATTCTTACTCAATTTTGAATTGGATGGTTTTCTATGATCTTGTAATTTTTCTTTTCTGTCATTATTATTTAATTCTTCATTTAATCGATTTTTTTGCTTATCTATGTTAGTTGGTCTTCTTCCAGTTTGTTGATAATGACTACCTCGAGAATCACTCATATGAAAACTTTTAGTTCCTGATCGAGAACGTTTAGATGATGTATGACGATGATCTTTCGTTTTAACAGAATCATCATATAACAATTTAATAACTTCCCATGTTGCTTTTAAATCTGGTCGATTTAATTTATCAGCAACATCACCATTAATATTACAAATATTTACTAATGCTTTTATTGATTTATCTCCATTTCCAAATATCCATCGTCGAGCAAATTGATGAAATAATTGCACAGAATTATCATGAAGAGTATTTGAATAAATTCCAAGTATACTTTTGCCTTCAATAACTTTATTCCATTTTAAAAATGTTGATATAGTTTCTTGTGAATAGAATTTCTGTAGACTAGTTGTTGATGATGGAATATGTCGTTCATTATATAATGAACGTACATATTCATTATCAATATTTGGTATAGATATATGTACAGAGCCTTTTGAAGTAACATCTAAAGAAAATAATGATGTAACTTGATCACTTTTTATTGCACTAGATAAATGGGCATGAATAAGACAATCATCACGATCTACTGAAATAATATTATCTGAATTTGATCGCCAAATAAAATCTCCAATATCATCTATATAGATTTATTATTAAAATTGAGAATAATTATTTTATTTTTCATACTTCGATGATGACAAAAGGTTGCATGGGGTAAATAAGCTCGTCGAATATCCCAAACATGAATATGTTGATCACTAGTACGTGTAAAAGATGCAATATGATAACGACATGCTGGACGCCAACTAAATTTTGTTACTTGACCAAATGTATATACTGTAAATAATGGATCTTGTCGATTATCATTACCTTTCGCATCCCAAACCTTTTTATTTTAATTTAAAAAAAAAGTGAAGAAATTGTTTTTTCCGCAAATGCGTGATTTTAACTTACACGTATGGTTCGATCATGACCGCCAGTACCACCGGTAGCAAGCCAAGAACGTTCATGAGGATTCCATGCAACACATAATACTTTATCTCGTGTAAGTACAGAAAATTCAGGTTGTGCTGGCTGTCGAATATCCCAAATCTATAAAAAAAAATATAGGAGAATAAGATTTGTTTTCTTTTATCGATATTATAATAACTTACAGGTACAGAATATTGATCACTTATTGCAGCAGCAAATTTATCTGTATTCGAGATATTGATATCAATATCACGAAATCCTTCTTTACTTGTATGTCGAAATGTTGTTACAACTCTACCATTATCATTTATTCGACAATCAGTTAACTAAAAATAAAACAAATATTTATATGAATAGAATAAATAACAGAAGTCATTTCTATTATGTAGATTCTTTTCTGAACAATACAAGGCTTAAATCGATCTCTTATTTAACACGTCGAAAATAACTTTTAAACATAGGCTCGATGTTTTTTTTACATGCAATACATGATTCAAATTGCCTCTCTTAGAATAATACTGAACTAACTCTATCGGAGACACGATAATTTTATATATATATAAACGAGCTAGGAAGTACCAAACGTTTCAGAAATAAAATATGACGAAGAAGAGAATATGTCTGAACAACATATAGAGCAGGAAACTGGTCAGGTTAACAAACGGAGCGAAAAGAAAAAAATGCAGACAAGTGTCCACAGAATGAAAACAGTACAAGAAACCATTCTGCTTAGCATGCTTTATGAGTGTTACTATACATCATTACTGGAACTAACGACTATTCTTTTATTTCCATTTAAATTGGTAAAGAAGAAAAGTTTGTTTTATATTGAAACACTTTTTTGTAATAAAACATCTGAAATTGAGCATTCATTTTTTTCTCAAATAAAAGCAAAGCGCTATGTTTTTTAGGATTTCATTATGTCCAGTGCATCATATGTGATGCACGGAACGTCTCAGTCCAAAGTATCGTGCATCACATATGATGCACCGGGCAGTCAACGTGTTAATAAACCAAAAAAATACCTTTGCAGATCCATCTTGAGACGCAGTCAATAGCATATATGGATCTAAATGATAGAAATATACTTTTATTTAAGTTTTTCTCTATGCAATTTACGTTTTGGATGAAATTGTGTTCGATTAATAATTGTACTATGAAGATTCATTTGATTAACAATATCTAATCGATTAATATCCCAGGTGTATAAATGTCCGCATGTACTACTTGCAGTGGCAAAACAATTTTCTGACGAAATAAAAAGGAATTTTTTTTATTATTTGAATAAAACATGAAATTAATTAATTACCATCATGAGGACTCCAACTAACATCTTTAGGTTGTAATGCATATCGTGGTATAGCTGATGGTCTTGATGTATTACGAAAATCATAAAGTTCTTTAAACTGTTCAGTCTGATCAATTTGTTCAATAGAAAATAATTGAAAATCTATTTAAATAAAAATATAACATACAAAAACTCCTCAATTTTTAATTCTTACTCTGTTGTCCAGCAGCTATTAATCGATTATGAGCACAATTAAGTGCAAGTATCGATGTACCACGACGTACAGCAGAAGAAATTATTGTTTGTTGATAATTTGTATTTATTTTATCCATACCAATCGATCATCTTATGTATTTAATACAATATATAAAAACAAAACAAAAAAGGAAAAATAATTACATTTATTTATTATAAAATAAAAAAATAAAATTTTGTCGGGTTATTTAAAAAAATAAACTAATTAAGATCAGAAAATATAAATTTAATTGACTAAATTTAAATTGCACGATGAAGTATTGATCGAACTTGTTCATAAGTTATAAACAATGTACCGGTAGCTAAAAAAGTACGAATGAGAGTCGGTAATAAACCTGCATAGAGAGCAAGAAAACCTATAAAATAAAAATAAATATTTTGAATTAATTGAAAAACACCCAAAGAATTTCTACCTTCATGTTTTATTATATTTAAAGTATATTTTACGAAATTGATTTTTGGATTAAATACTTGTATACGTGATTTGATTGCATCAATAGGAAACATAATTATCCAAAAACATATACCAGCCATTCCACCGGATATCCAAGTTTTTATAAAACCTATAGAGAGATGATTAACATAACATTTATGAATGTAGATTTTATTACCAATATCGCCTTTTTTTTGATTTTCATTGATTAAAAGTGATCTTGTTAATTCATAACCTCCAAAAAAACATCCATAACCTGGACATTCTCTCATTAATGTTGTTGTTAAACCACGAAATAAACCACGAACACCTTCCTGACGTATTATATTGCGAGTCATATCAATTGGTGAGCTAAAAAAACATTGAAAATTAAGCCAAGAAATATGTTTCTTAAAAAATATTTTTACATTATTTTATTTTTTACATTTGATGAATTTATCATTGGCATATCATTCAATGTTTGTATTCGACATTTAATTAATTCAACTGGACATAATGCAAATGATGAAAATACAGCTGCAAAACTTCCAGCTGCCATATTTTCTAACGGAGTTAACTGTTCTTTATCTGTTTTATTTCTTACTAAAGCAATCATATTTTGACACTGACCATAAGCCATAAATAAAATTCCATTCTCTAATATATTTATTTATTTAAAAAATTAATTTCGAAAAAAACAAATAAAAACCTGCAGCATTCGCAAGTACCGATGGTAAAGTTCCAGCATAAAATCCACGTAAACCATCTCGATAGAAAATTTTTTGTCCACAATCTAAAGAATTTTTATAATGATTCGGAAATGTTTGTAATTTAGTTTTGATTGTATCTAATGGTTGTCCAACATAAACTGACGCTGTTGCACCTTTATTGAATATTAGGAAATAATGTATTCGAAATAAAAATATGTAATAATTTTACCGGTTATTCCACTTAAAAAGTCGATTATAGCATCAGAATTCATTCTATTTAAGAGTTTTATTTTGTTTTCTTCCTTATTATTCCATCAGATTAATATTAGATTGCGCTAGTAGACATTCTAAATACTCTCTATTCAAACTGCAATTGGTCTGGATATAAAAACCAATAGGAAATTATATATTTGTTTTGTAGTATAATGTTTATTCCTTCTTATTGAATTAATTTAGATTCGAATAAAAAAAAAATGTTATGTCGAAAAGATCCATGTGGAATCGTCTGTATTGCATTAACATATGCAATGCTTTTGCATTGTCTTTATGTTATTCTTTTTGTTTTAATTCTGCCATTATTTAACGAAAGGTTTATTTTATTTTATTCATAATATATAAAAATAAATAAAATCTTTTTTTTTGTCTTTAGTCTTTATGGAACATTGAATGCGTTAATTATTTGTACACTTGTTTTTTTTTCAATTATTTCACATGGACGTGCAGCATATTTTGATCCAGGTTTTGTACCATTACCAAAAAAAGCAATTGATTTTTCCGATGTCAAAAATGGTGATAGTTCAAATAATCTTATAAAAGTAAAAAATTATCAAAAGTATTTTCTTTTAATAAAGTTTTCTTTTTATTCAGCCAACTGAAGAAGGTTGGACAGGTACGTAAGACAACGTTTGTTTATTTAATAAATAAAAATATATTGTTTTAATTAGTTTGTAATCGATGCGATACATATCGACCACCTCGTGCACATCATTGCAGGTAGATTTGATTTTTTTCTTTGATTTAAAAAATTAATATATCTCTTTTTTATTTAGGATATGCAAACGATGCGTCAGAAAGTAAGATATCATATTCATAGGCTATTTTTTAAAGAATATTCTATGAGCGCTTAGGATAACCCTTGTTAATCAATTAGACATAACAATTCTTTATTAGTCCGAAGTTACGAAACTTAGATCAGAATAGCCATCTAAAGGAGTATCTCTGAGTTCTATCCGCTTGATTCCATTGATTAAACATATAGTTGACGAATATTATTTTTATTTTAGATTGGATCATCATTGCCCATGTATGTCAAAATCGCATCAATGTAATTTTTTTATTAGAAAAATTATTTTTATTTTCAGGGGTGAACAATTGTGTCGGTGAATTTAATCAAAAATATTTCATTTTATTTCTTTTCTATATTGGTAATAAAAATTAATAAATATATCATTGTAAAACTTTTATTCGAATCTATTAGGAGCAACAAGCGTTTATTCAGTAATATTTATTATCTGGACATTAATTGTTTTTCCTGAAAAAACTGAAGCTCAGATGTAAGTTAATTATTTCTTATGTATTTATTCAATAAGTTTCTTTTTCTTCGCAAATTAAATAGAGTTCATGCCGTAGTAATATGTGTTGAATCATGTTTATTTGGTATATTTGTTATAACGGTATTTGTTGATCAACTACAATCGATCGTAACTGATCGTAGTTTGATTGATAATTTAAAATTAAGCGAAAGTTCTCGAATGGCACAACAAATTCTCCCACCAAAACGTGTTCTATTTCGAAAAGTTTTTGGTTCTGGTAAGAATTTAATCATTAACATTTCTTAATTTGTTTTTTATTTTATTTTATTTCAGGTCCATTGATATGTTGGTTATGTCCATTTGATTTAAATAAATCGAATCCACCGATTAATTCATCAGAAATGTACCATGTCTAATGTAAACTTGTCTATTTTTTAAATGTGATCTGACATCTGTAACTAAATTCTCGAGAAAATATATTTCTCATAGTCATAACAAACAAAAATCTCACATTTTGATTTGTTTTTTAAATAATTAATTCAATTTTTAAGTAATAAATTTTTTTTGTAGATGAAATAATATATCATGGCTCAAGCAGTAGCATCTAATTTTCGACGTCGTATTCTTGGTTCAAGGCAAGATACAACAAATGATGCATTGCCTATTACATTAAATTCAAATAATTCTTATCAAAGCCGTCCATTTACACGTATTGATAAACGATCTATTGAAAAAGTATGGAAACAAATGGATCGTATTGTAAAATATTGTCAAATGCCAAAAATGAATTTAAAAAATTCTCCACCATATATGCTTGATATTCTACCAGATTTTTATCAAATATTACGTGAAATAATTACGAATTATGAAGATCGTTTACATATATTAAATGATATTGAATATTTTCGTATATTTATTGATAATCTTATTGATTTATGTACAAAAACAATTGAATGTTTTAAACGTGCTGGTCATCATATGTATGATGAACAATCAAATTATCGAAAACAATTTATAAAATTTTCATTATATTTTTCACATAATTTAACTGAATTAAAATCTTTATTTAAAGATGGAATATTTGAAGGTGAACGTTTTCGTTTAACAAAACAAGAAGCAAATGAATTTTGGAAAAGTAATTTTAATGAAAGGTAAAAATAATAACAAACAACATAGTATTTATCTGTAAAAATAATTTTCATCTCCTAGAACTATTATACCATGGAAAGAATTTAAAGAAAAATTAAATTCTATTCATCAAATACATTCATATAATGAATCAATAGCTTTACAAAATACAATTGATTTAACAAATAATAATCATGTATCAATATTTGAATTTGATGTTTTTACAAGGTAAAAATCTATTATTAATAAAAATATTTTTGAGATGTTAGAAAAATAAATTACGCAATATATTTTCTAAGCATAAATTCGCTGTCCATTCATATTTTTCTGTTTCTTTTCTCTTGTAAACTATTTCGTTATGTCTTCATAGTATTACATATATATTTCAATGAGTTTAAAAGTCATTGCATAATTAGACATGTCTCCAATATAGATGTCAGGAGAAATACTTTTCTGGATTTCTATATCACCTTCTACTACTTCCATAAGACAATTTATATTATATAAAATAGATTATTTCATCCATGGTCATCACTATTAACCAACTGGAAATTATTAGCTATAACTCATCCCGGTTTTATGGCATTTATGACATATGATGAAGTGAAAGCAATATTAACAAATTGTACGGATAAACCAGGTAGTTATGTATTTCGATTGAGTTGTACACGACTTGGTCAATGGGCTATCGGCTATGTAACATTACAAAATACAATACTTCAAACGATACCACAAACAAAACCATTAATTCAATCATTAATCGATGGAGAACGAGAAGGATAGTAAGTTTAGGAATTTCAATTTTTCTTATTATAATAATAAAATAAAAATTTGTTTTTTCGTAGTTATAAATATCCCAATGGAAAAAATCTTCATATTGATTTATCTTCGGCTTTAAGACCAACAGAATCTGATCGTATATTTGTATCCGAAGAAGAATTTTCAATATATTGTAATATGGGTACAAGTTTTGAATTATGTAAAATATGTTCAGTTAATAATAAAGATAGTAAAATTCAACCATGTGGTCATTTAATATGCCAAAGTTGTTTAATATCTTGGCAGGTAGAATTATGGCATATTTTTTTTTCCTTATTATTATAAAAAATATTTTATTAGAATCAAAAGAATATCAAACCGCCACCATTATGTCCATTTTGTCGTGGTGAAATAAAAGGTTTTGAATCCGTTATTGTTAATCCATTTGATAATTCAACAATAGAAAATAAAAAAGAATCAAGTCCAAATGAATTCGATGATGTAAATAAAGCGAACTTTAATTTTTGTTTAATTAAATTAATCTTGTTTATTTAGCAAAAGATAGACGCCAATCCAAATGTTCAAAACTTACAATCACTTGCAACTACTCGTCCAATAAATAATGAGAATAATCATAATATGAATGTTTTATCAGATAATCAAATATCTTCATCTCCTCCTCCTCCTCCTATTCCTCCTCGTCCTGTGAATATGAAATTAATTTCAAATATTCCTCAACGATTTCAATTACATCAATTTCCACCAGTAAATAATAATGATATTTTATTACTTCCATCACGATCTTCAAGTATTAAGCAAAGACCATTATCATTAATATCATCAAGTGATAGTCTTAGTGATTCATTTAGTAAGAATATAAGTGAATTATAAAAAAACAATTTCAACGATTTTTCTTTTAGATCAATTATCATCTGCATCAGGAGATATACGTTCGACTAGTTCACAAAATGGTATTAATAATCATGTCAATTCTGAATATGAATCTATAAAGTATGACTTTTGAATTTAAATCTTACCATAGCATTTATTTTGAGGGTGGGTGGGTGTGGGTTTGGGTTTAAGTCTGGGTTTGGCACCCAAACTGTTTGGGGGATTGGGTACTAAACCCAAACTCACCAAACTTAAACAGTTTGGGTTCGGGTCATTGCCCAATCGTATCATCAATATCTCATGTTATATAATTTATTTATTGCGATATTAGACTGACTGATCTATTTCATTCACTTTTTTGTTCATATAAATGTATTCAATTTCTACTGAATATTAACATTATCTTACAGAAAACATGTGAAGCAAACAATTATTTTCTTTTATATTTTTAGTCTATCTTCTAATGATCAATTTCGAACAATAGATGATATACGTAATCGATTAATATTAGAAAATAATATTGATCAGACACGTATTGAAGCTGTTTTAATCTTAACTCAAGGTTTATCATTATCGAAACAATATGAAATGTCTAAATTATTTCTTAATCAAGTAAAACATGAACAAGAAAAATTATCAGATCATAGTAGTATGATAATTAATGAATGCTTATGAATCCAATTAATCAAAATTTGTCATTTTTTTTATCGACAGTATATCTATTAAATCTGTTTTTCCTTTCTTCGATTTTCTTAAAAGAAAAATTTGTTAAGTTTTTTTTTTGTATATGTTTCTTAAATATAAAAATTAATTTATTTGACAATTGATAATCTGTGTGTACGTGTGTATTTGTGTTTTTTTTATTTGTGTCTATACTAAAAATATGTTATATTTGTAGATAATAACAATTCTTAAAAGAATGAAAGAAGATATTTCAAGTAAGTTTTGTTTTGTATAGATGAACGTAATTTTTCATTTCATTTCTGTATAGCAACATGCGTTGCTGCTGTTTTCTCTGACATCGAACCGGAACCTCAAGTATATTTCGTTTCCTTTTTTGATATTTTTATTTATAATCGAAATTTTCTAGTTGAAAGATATTGAAAAATTTATGCGTGATCATGGTTGTCAACAAGATGTCGAGGGTGGTACAAATGAATTAGAAGATAAAGTTAAATCGATTATAAATGAATTAAGAAATGTACTTAAAGAAACAATAGCAGAAGGAGGTAAAGAAAACTATGATCTTTGTTAATTGATAGAGAAATAAAAAATATTTATTTTATTAGAAATGGAAATGTTTCTTAATTCCGTAATGAGTTTAATTTTACTTGTACCTGAAGATAAAATTAATCGACCGATTGCAAGTTTTTCCGAAGCAATTGTCAATGCAAATCTACCAGAAAAATATGGACCAATGAAACTTCGAGTGTAAGTTAAAAAAAATCATAAAAGAAAAATATAATATGTATGTGTTTTCTATAGGTTAACAAATTTGATTTACGTTGTACCAGAACGCAGTAATACGGATAAATATCGAATTCTAATTGATTTAATCAAATGTGCACGAAATCATCGATGCATTAATGCTGTTTCAGTTGGAATTAATCAGGTATTATTCAAAAAAACATATTATGTATTTTTCCACAGTAATCATGCTCGTTAGCACCTATAAACACGGTCACTAGCTCGCTAAATATGTGTGCATTATGTCTCAATTTTAATAATCTCTAATATCATTGCTGTGTATATTTAAGTCAGATAGTTAGTTAATTTAGGAATTAGATAAAATACATCTAAAACACATCTACATCCATACTATGTTAACGTCCATTCTGACGAGTAATAGCTTTGCGGCCGACTTTCTGGAAAGCAAATTTCCGTGGAAAGCTTATGTTCATCAAGCACCTTCTTATAAATCTCGACCAGCTTATAACGAGGTTGTAAATACTTTTTATTTGAATTCTAGTATGGTCAACAATATGACGTACGAAATAGTCTTAGAGTATGTCGAAAGATAGAGCATCAAATATGATACAAAAAGAGACATATTCTAACAAAAATGTTTCACGTAAATAAGGCTTATATATATTTTTATTGTTAGTGATTATAACTAGTACGAATACTTAAATTCTATTCTTATCTGCAAATAAAGATGACAATTAGACATAATATAGTTTTCAACTAATCTTAATAATAATCGGATTACATTAAATATTATTTCAGTTGATAGTTCAGTATCGAACTATTAAATGTATTTTATTGTTGCAAGAATTACATTATTCATATTTTCAATCGTAGGTCAAAAAATGGGTAAAAGATTGGAAAGTATCAACTGAACAAGTTCAAGAACTCTATCAAAGTATGCATGAAGCATATGCAGCTACTGGAGATTCGTATGTATTTTCCTTAAATATATTAATTTTATTTATGATTTATCTATTCTACTTTATCTCTAGTGCCAATGCTTTACAACTTTTACTGGAATTACTTGGTACATATACAAAAGAAACAGCATCAAAAGCTCGTACTGATGCAATCAAGTATACATTTAAATAAAATTAATTTTATTATATATTCTTTTTCTTTTAATAGATGTATTATCAATAGTATAAATGATCCTAATGTATTCGTTATGGATCATTTACTTTTACTTGAACCGGTGAAAGTTCTTGAAGGAGAAAATATTCATAATGTAAATCAATAATTAATTTCGAATATTTTATTTTATTTTATTGTATTTATTTAGTTATTAAATATTTTTGTTTCCGGCCGTTTACAAGATTATTTAGAATTTTATAATAAGCAAAAAGCCTTTATTGAATCATCAGGTATAAATATAAATTTATCGAAGAAAATAATTAATTTATAATTATATATTTAGGTATTAAACATGATCGAAATGTAACCAAAATGCGTTTGTTAACATTTCTTCAAAGTGCTGAAAATCAAAAAGAAGTTACATTTGATACCATTGAAAAAGAAATGCAAATATCAACAGATGATATCGAATCATTTATTATCGAAGGTAAATACGAAAAAAAAACAATAAATTAAAGTTATTTATTTATTTATTTGCTTTTAGCTGTTCGAACGAAAATGATACGTTGTAAAATCGATCATCTTGCTCGAAAAGTTATTATTGATAGTACTGTTCAACGAACATTTACAAAACAACATTGGCAATCATTAAAAGAAAAACTTGAAATATGGAAAACAAACTTACTCATTATTAATAATAATCTTAAAACAATAGTAGCAACAGCAAAATAAAAGAAAACAAAATGAAATTTTTTCCTCTTGGAATTCTAAAGATATATGGAAAAACCAATAGTTGTTGTAATTGTTGTTTTTATTGTTAAACAGAAAAAAAAATCAACGACTATGATTAAATAAAAACAAAAAAAAGAAAGTTTTAAAGTTCAAAGTCAATACTTTTTTTCTTGCTAACATAAAATGAAATATTCTAACGGATTGGAAATACATTACGAATTGAATATTTGCTCATCAGTACTTCTTTCATGAAACCTTTAGAAGAAAATTATATAGATTGTATGAAGAGAAATATTAGATCTATTCTACAATCAAAAAATGAGCTCGAACAGATGTAATGAAGTAAAACTATTCGATTTCTTTCGCAAAAATTTGAAAATGATAGTAATACTTCGAATAAATCATGCTATATATAGATAAACGTATTGTCTTGCACACACTCAATTACAACTATTTGGTTCTACGATGGAAATATTTTACAACAAGGAATAACTACTTGCTCATTGACTGTATTTAAATCATTCAGTACATTATTTTGCTTTGAGCAGTTTAAAATAAAAGACGAATCTTTTATATCATTCAGCAAGGAGAACTTTATCTCTAAGAGTAACAAACAAAGTTGTTGAAATAGATGATGAAGCAGTCGCTGTATATGTAATAAGTGATGTTAATAAAGATAGTTTTTTTCTCTTTCCATAACTTATGAATATATGATAACATTTGATTCATTTTCAGGTTAGCAGACATTTGAGAGATTTCGGTTTGGATTGCTTCTTGTTTCGTTTTTTAAATTTCCTTTCTATGCTGTTCGACCGTTTTGGAACGCAATCTACATTCAAAAAAAAAAACTACAAACAATGCAAAATCTTCTTCAGTTTTTGTTAATATCCATACGTCTTTATTGAGATTCTTGTGCAGGCTCACACAGATATCCAAATATGAAATATACAGTTGTTATTTTGAATGCATTAGCAAGAAGTATGTACTTGCTTGAGACAGTACACTCTAAAAAATATTGGTGCTCTACTGAACCCTCAAAAAAGGTTTCGTCGTAACCAAAAAGTCTCCAAGCATGTTGAAAGTTTGAAAAACACAATAAAAAATTCTACGAAACCGTTTTCTTGAGTTCAGGACACCAGAAAAAGTTTCTGTGGGGAAACACGAAACTATTAGGGTTTCATGTGGAACTCTAAAGGTTTTGTAGGAGAAGATTCTTTCCCCTGACACACGGAACAATCCTTTAATGGTTTCATAGAATTTTTCAAACTTTCAACATACTTGGAGACTTTTTCGTAACGGTGAAACCTTTTTTTGGGAGTTTAGTAGAGCACCAATTTTTTTAGAGCGTAATTACATTTAATTTACTATTAAAAATACACAACAAAATGTAAGAGAATACACCTTTAAATTTTTTGATTTCATTATTGATTAGAACACATCAAGTTATGGCTTAACAAGGTCCGTTTTATCTCTATGTCCATTTCTCAGTCGCCAATCGTCTTTGGTTTTTATATGTTATAAGACAAATCAAAGCGTCACTTGGATGTTCTTTTCCTATAAAAAAGATGGTTAATTGTTGCCGATATTGAAGAGTGTTACCCTTCTCATGAATTTGTCACAGAATGCCTCAAATACGAATTCCTAGAGCTGAAAAATTGTGCAGCGAAATATGATCGCTAGAAGTTTAGGCAGTATTTTATTTGTGAGATAATTGATCACTAGAGCGTGGCAGTGTTGCCTCAAGAAAAAGTATTTCTTTAGCCATGCAGCCGAAACGTATTTTTTCAGTATTTCGAAAATCGTTCGTAGGATCAGAGTCGATCCGTTTCACAGTTTGTCGAACGACAATTCGAAGTGGTGACTACGAAGTGCATTAGGTATTTTATGGATCTGAATAGGTATTTCGTGCCTTTTTTTGGATTGGTCGATCGTATCTTAAACGTGAATAACCTTCCTACTAGCTTGACATCAATAAATTTATTTACTTTGATCTGTTTCCTACTCTTCACGTTATTATTTTCAAAAGTAACTAAATGGAATTTGTCCTTGAGTCACAATGAATAAAACCAACATTGGGGAGTCGATGAATAATGGGGAAAAAAACAAGTCACTACTTACATAAATAAACGAGACGAATTTTAGTTATTCATTAAACCAATTATTACCAATTTCATTTCACGCAAAAAATAGCGTACATTTCAAAGTGGAATGGGTGCACAAAAATTAAAAGCAGACCATACAACAACATCAAAATCAATATCCTCATCCAACATTCGTCAACCAAGACAACGAATGGCTCAAAATTACCTTCTCCTATGGGTAGATACCAGCATCGACCAAACAAACAAAGATTATGAAAATACATTAAAACAAATACAAACTATTACTGGTGATGTCAATGTCTTCAAGGAAAAAGATGCATGCATTGACTTTCTTACAGATACTCAAAAAGACATCAAGTCATTTCTCATTGTCAAAGATACTATGTGTCAACAAATAATGCCCCTCATTAATGATATTCCTCAGCTGCATGGTGTTTATATCTTGGATAATATTAAAATCCTACATGAAGAATGGACACAAAACTGGGCAAAAGTTAAAGGTATACATACAAATATCGAACAGATCTGTCGAAGATTACAATCAGATATTATACAATATCATCACGACTCGATAGCCATGAGTTTTATCACGGCCAATGAAATGGCTTCAACAGATAATTTAAATCAGTTAGAGCCTACTTTTATGTATACTCAAATATTCAAGGAAATTCTTCTTGATATGAAACATGATGAACAGGCGATCAAACAGTTTACAGCTTATTGTCGGCATCATGACTGCGGATCGGCAAAGAATATCGAGGAATTGGAAAAAAAATACCAGCCTCGATCAGCTATTTGGTGGTACACTTGTCCATCATTTATATATTCTATGCTGAATTATGCTCTACGCTCTATGGAAGGCGATACCATTATTAATATGGGTTTTTTCATTCATGATCTTCACCAACAGATCCAACAACTATACCAACAACAGGTTAATAGTTATCATGGCAAACCTTTTTTAGTGTATCGGGGACAAGGTCTTATGCAATCAGACTTTAAAAAACTTCAAAAAGCAAAAGGTGGACTTATGTCATTTAACAATTTCTTGTCCACCAGTAAAGATAAAGAAGTGTCCATCTATTATGCTCGAGGTGCTTCAACAGAACCGGGGAAAGTAGGCCTTCTATTTATAATGTCAATTGATCCTTATATTAAATCACCACCATTTGCTTCCATAAATGAAGAGAGTTATTTTACGGAAGAAGAAGAAATTCTCTTCTCAATGCACACTGTCTTCCGAGTGGGTGCAATAGAACACATGGACAATATGAATCAACTTTATCAAGTCGAATTACAATTAACGTCGGATGATGACCAACAATTACGATTACTTACTGATCGGATACGAGAAGAAGCTGGTGGTGGTAATGGATGGGAGAGATTGGGCAATTTATTGCTTAGAATCGGTCAATTTAATAAGGCTGAAGAACTTTATAACGTATTACTCGAACAAACATCTAATGAAGATGAAAAAGCGTTTTATTACAATCAGCTTGGATTAGTGCACTCGAATCAAGGTGACTATGCAAAAGCTATTTCGTATGCCAAACAAGGACTTGAAATTCAACAAAAAACTCTTCCGTCAAATCACCCTAATTTGGCTACTACATACGGCAACATCGGCAGTGTGTACGACTATATGGGAGAGTACTCGAAAGCACTTTCGTTTTACGAAAAAGATCTTGAAATCTGTCAAAACAGTCTTCCATCAAATCATCCTAATTTGGCTACTTCATACAATAACATCGGTTTGGTGTATTACCATATGGGAGAGTACTCAAAAGCACTTTCATTTTATGAAAAAGCACTTGAAATTAAACGAAAAACTCTTCCTTCAAATCATCCTTCATTGGCTATTTCATATAACAACATCGGTAGTATGTATAAAAACATGGGAGAGTATTCGAAAGCACTTTCATCGCATGAAAAAGCACTTGAAATCTATCAAAAAACTCTTCCTTCAAATCACCCTGATTTGGCTATCTCGTATAATAATATTGGTAGCGTGTATTATAATATGGGAGAGTATTCTAAAGCACTTTCATCTCACGAACAAGCACTTGAAATCTGTGAAAAAACTCTTCCTGCAAATCATCCTGATTTGGCAACCTCATTCAACAACATCGGTGGTGTATACGATAGCATGGAAGAGTACTCGAAAGCACTTACGTTTTATGAAAAAGGCTTTGAAATTAAACAAAAAACTCTTCCGTCAAATCATCCTGATTTGGCTACCTCATACAACAACATTGGAAGTGTGTATAAAAATATGAGAGAATATTCGAAAGCACTTACATTTTACGAAAAAGATCTTGAAATCTGCGAAAAAACTCTTCCATCAAATCATCCTTCATTGGCTACTTCATACGGTAACATTGGTAGCGTTTATTACAGCATGGGAGAGGACTCGAAAGCACTTTCATTTTATGAAAAAGCACTTGAAATTCGACAAAAAACTCTCCCTTCAAATCATCCTTCGTTGGGTACTTCATACAGTAATATCGGTAGTGTGTATCACAATATGGGAGAGTATTCGAAAGCACTTTCATTTTACGAAAAAGACCTTGAAATCTGTCACCAAACTCTTCGTTACTATCATCCTGATTTGGCTACTTTATACAATAACATCGGTTCGGTTTATTACAGTATCGGAGAGTACGCTAAAGCGCTTTCGTTTTGTGAAAAAGCAATTGAAATTCAACAAAAAACTCTACCCTTAAATCATCCTTCATTGGCTATTTCATACAACAACGTTGGTTTGGTGTATTCCAAGATGGGAGAGTACTCAAAATCACTACCATTTTACAAAAAAGCACTGGAAATCTATCAAAAAACTCTTCTTTCAAAACGTTCTCATTTGAGTACTTCTTACACCAAGACTGATCGAATTTTTAGAAATATGAAAGACTATTCGAAAGCACTTTCAAATTATGAACGTGTTCCAGATATCAGACAACGTGCATTACTTCGAACTCATCCTCTTATTAAAGATGTGACAGAGAGTATTGAAATTGTAAAAAAGAAATTATAGAGAATATTCAAGAAATAAAAGAATGTTTTGTTGATTTGTTATTTAATTAAGTCTTTTTTTTTGTGTTTTGTGAGCGCGTATGCAGATCTTTGTAAATAATTAAAATGTAATGGAGAAAGTCCACTGATAGGGTATATAAATGACTCTCTCAAACATTTAAATTTGTACCTCTTTACAAGAGTATTTTCTGTAATAAACAAGATATATTAGTTTAAATAGTAATCGTAGAATAAAACAACTTATAAAAGAATAACTTAGATGAATTGAATTATTATATTATATTGTTACACAAGGCCTCGTATGATGAAGAGAAAGTTAAAAAAGTGCGATATGTATGTCGATATATCATTGATACATAGTCTAGTTGAATTAGTCAATTCGTATTTATTATCAATGAGAAAAAAATGAAACGAATAATCATTTATTCATGGTATGTTAATCAATTATGTTTTTTGTTTTAAATTTTAAATAAATAATCTTTTGGTGTTTGATTTGATGTCTTACCACGATTTCTCATTATCTAATCATCATACTTAGATGTTTGACAGAGAGCGTTACTAGATATGTAATGGTATAATATGAGTAACATATCATTAAACTGAATATACGAGAAAAAAAGAGTTCGATAATTTTGGGTGTGTGTATATTCTGGATGTAATGTGCTTTACACATTCATCTAATATGTTTGATGGTTGTATAATGCATAAGATTACTTTGATGCATAAATATTTATTAAGTATAATTATTATTTAAAGTGAAAGTTTATATTTATTCAAACGTCGATAACTTATACATATGACATTGGGAATATTATAGATAAATTACTTCACTGTTATTTCAAATCAATCTAATATTTCTATAGAAAAATATTCATGTCATGAAGTGATACTTTAACAAATACCTAAAACTATTTTATTCTATTCAATAAGATTTCAAGATGATCGATCATGTTAGAGTGCACTTTTTCTTCTATCTAAACAGTACATCAAAAGTTAATACACTGACATTTTTATTTTCTATTCTTTTAAATTACACATACAGAAAGACTTTTACGTTCTTCACTTTACAACATGTGTTCATTTGTTTTTACTTGGAAATGCATTTATATATAGCGAACATAAACAAAGAGATAACTATACCATTGTTTCATTTCATTATGATCTATACAGAAGAAAATATATTTATATACCATCATACATTCTAAGTTTCAGCATTGATTCGATTTTTCTAATAGATTAATACCATGCGAGACATTTATATTTCAACAAATGGAACTGATCTTAGTGAAAAAGATATATTAAACGTATGTATAAAAATATAGAGAATCAACATAATAATACTATGATGAGTTTAATTCAAAAACACTGTTTATCATTCAATTTATAATTTCTTTCTTTCTTTTTTCTATTAAGAATGATAATATTAAGTCTCTCGACGATGATGAACCACTGTTACGTGAAAATCCATCACGTTATGTTTTATTTCCAATAAAATATCATGATATATGGAAGTTTTATAAATGTGCATTAGCATCTATATGGACATGTGAAGAAGTTGATTTAGCTAATGATATGAAACATTGGTTATGTTTAACATCTGATGAACAATATTTTATTAAACATATCTTAGCATTTTTTGCTGCTAGTGATGGAATTGTTGGAGAAAATCTAGTATGTTAAGTTATTTATTTACAAAATCCTTGTTTTAATATTTATGATTTTATAGATAGAAAAATTTTCATCCGAAGTTCAATTACCTGAAGCACGTTGTTTCTATGGTTTTCAAATAGCTATTGAAAATATTCATTCTGAAATGTATAGTTTATTAATTGATACATATATAACAGATACACATGAACGGTAAAGATAATAAAAAAAATATTTACATATGTATTTCATAACATTCATTCTTATTATCTCTTCTAGTGATATATTATTTAATGCTATTTCAACATTACCTTTTGTTAAAAAGAAAGCAGATTGGGCTATTCGTTGGATGAATGAAAAAACTCCATTTGCTGAACGTTTAGTTGCATTTGCTTGTATTGAAGGAATATTTTTTAGTGGATCATTTGCATCCATTTTTTGGTTACGTGAACGAGGTGTTATGCCTGGTTTAACATTTAGCAATGAATTAATTAGTCGAGATGAGGTTTGTTAATATTTTAAATGTAGATTCATAACCGATTAGTATATTAATTTTCGTAATTTTCTTTTAGGGTTTACATACAGATTTTGCTTGTTTATTATTTCAACATATTGTACATAAACCAAGTGTTGAACGTATCGAAGAAATACTTCGTGATGCTGTAAATATTGAAATTGAATTTCTTACTGATGCTTTACCATGTTCACTTGTTGGAATGAATGCTTCAGCAATGGCACAATATATTAAATTTGTTGCTGATCGTCTATTAACTGAACTTGGTTGCTCAAAAGTAAGTTTCAATAATAATTTTTTTTTTTTCTTTGTTTCTAAAGAATATTTTTAATTCCTATAGATTTATCATTGTGATTGTCCATTTGATTTTATGAATAATATATCAATAAGTGGTAAAACAAATTTTTTTGAAAAACGTGTTGGTGATTATCAACGAGCTGGTGTTATGTCATCATCAACTGGACATCAGTTAACGCTCGATGCTGCATTTTAATCTGTTTTCTTTTAAATATTGAAAATGAAATCAATTCTTTTTTTTCTACTTGAAATTCTTTTCTTCTGTTAATACTTTTATATACATTGTGTATAATGATGACTTCGAATAATTTAAAAATATATATATAGATTAAGAAAAATAAATTTATAAATGAAATAAATATATAGAATTAAAAATTTAATCTGTTTGATAAAAGTGGATTTATAAATTGTCATCGGTAAAAAATTGTTCCTTAATGGTAGAGGTGAGAAATAGTTTTCTAATATTTATATAAACTACAAATGATGTATATTGCGATTTTTGTTATATTTACCGGATATCATTCATATCATTCGTCTATTTGATAAGGTATTAATATCATGCTTGTCAACGTTCTCTTTTTTTTAATTCCATCATATAACGTGATCGTCTCAAAACAAGAGCATCATGTAGTTTCTTTTTTAATTTGCTCTCATTCTATAACATACATTTATATTTAGATATGACTAAGTTATTGTTTCTTCTTATTATTTTATTAAATTCATTGATAATTATTACTCGTTGTGCACGACCTACGGAATGTGAATTACCATTTGCTACAGGTCCATGTCGTGCAATGTTTTCTTCATTTTATTTCAATCCATCAACTAATCAATGTGAAGAATTTGTTTATGGCGGTTGTGATGGTACAAGAACTAAATTATCTGATTTTAAAAGTTTAATATTTATGTTTTAGGCAATGCTAATCGTTTTGAAAATAAAGAAGAATGTTTAGCAAGATGTGATGGAAATAATCATCAAAATGAAATACTACACCAAGATGAATAAGATTTTCGTTTTTTTCTGTTTTAATAATAAAAAATAAATATTTGAATGAAAGATGTCGCTAATCTTTAGTTTCTTTCAAAAAATCTTCTAAATGATTGGTTAACGAAATTAGTGAAGTTTCTCTCTGACTGACGTACATGTGTATCATAGATTTCATCATTTTATTTTCCAACACGAATTAATCATTGATAAAACTATTGCTTTACTAATAATGTATTATTAGTTTAGGTACGTTGCTTTATAATATTTATTATTGATTTTCAAATTGATTTTCTAGAAAAGTTACATCTATTATGCCAGAAGAACCAGATTTATCTAATACAATTAAAGATGTTTGGGCACATAATGTTGAAGAAGAATTTCGTGCTATAAGAAAATTAATTGTTAAATATCATTATGTTGCTATGGTTAGTTGTTTATTATGAAGAGATTTGATCTGTAAAATTTCATATATTTATTTCGTTTAAAGGATACAGAGTTTCCCGGTATTGTTGTTCGACCTTTGGGAGAATTTAAATCAACAGCAGAATATCAATATCAATGTTTAAAACTAAATGTGGATTTTTTAAAAATTATTCAATTAGGTTTAACATTCATGGATAGTCAAGGAAAAAGTCCACCAGGAGTTTGTTCGTATCAATTCAATTTTAATTTTAATTTAACGTAAATATATTTCGAAGAAATGTTTCCCTTAAGAATATAATGTAATATACAAGCTTTTCTTCACTTTCATTGAGAATTCGAGGAGATCTATTCGAAAATTAGTAGAATGCATCATGTAATTACGAAGAAACATTATACTAATGCGAAATTCTTTTTTAGGATGGATATGTATGCACAAGATTCCATAGAATTACTGCAGAAATCGGGTATACAATTTAAAAAACATGAAGAAGATGGTATTGATCCACATTTATTTGCTGAATTATTAACAACTTCAGGTGTTGTATTTATGGAAAATGTAACATGGCTTTCATTTCATGCGTATGTAGTTATATTTTTTAACTCTAAAAAATATTTTAATTTCTTTAGTGGTTATGATTTTGGTTATCTTTTAAAAATGCTTACTGGAAAATTATTACCAGATGTTGAAAGTGAATTTTTTGAATTATTAAAAATATTTTTTCCAACTATTTATGATGTTAAATATTTAATGAAAAGTTGTAAAAACCTTAAAGGTGGTTTAGAAGAAGTTGCTAAACAACTTGAAGTAAATATTTTGTATTAATTTAAGATTATATATATGTTCTATTAAAATAATTTTAGATTGAACGTATTGGTCCACAACATCAAGCTGGTAGTGATAGTTTAATGACAGGCTTAGCATTTTTTAAAATGAAAGAATTATTTTTCGAAGATTCTATTGATGAAGGAAAATATTCAGGACATTTATATGGTCTTGGACATTCAGCATTTCCAGCTGGGGGATTTACTTTTGAAAATGATCCTGTGAATGTTGTTGAAAATGAAAGTCCATAAAGAAGAGTATATATCACACATTTCTTTTTTGTTTAATACGTTTAGTATTATGCGTGTCATTTTAGTTGTTCATTTTTTTCTTTCTTTTGTATTGATTTATTATTAAGTACTGTTATTTGTACAGAAGAGCCGTGAAAGATCGAAAAAAAATAGAAGCAAAAAAGAAAATAAATCATATATATATATACATATATACAGGGGCGGCGGAGCGTCATTAACCTAAGTGAGGCTCACAATATTTTCTCTACTGTGGACTTTTATTAAAGCATGAAGCAAAATATAAGTCTTCTTTTTATTAGACCTCAATAAAAACTACAACGGTCATCGTGAAAATAAAATAAATCAGAGCGTACCAGAAAATAACTTTCTCTGTTCGTTCTTCGATGCGAAAGTTGAACAGAGACTTTTCTTTGTATATGTGTGTCAAAAAGAAAAATGAATGAATGTTTGGAAGTTTTTCAGTCATTAAATACACTGTGAAGAGGATATAAATCAATCTGATCACTACTGAGCTACTTCTTTATTGCCGTAATAATATATATATATGTGTACGTGAATATGCGCTTGAAAAAACCAAACGTTTTGGGAATAAAACTTATATAGACGAAATGAGGAAAAACTAAACATGCGAACAAGGAGACATGTAAGAAGAGGGGAGAAATACCTGAGTACCATATAGACAAGGGAAATATCCAAGTAAAAGAAAAGAAAAACATACATGATATATATAAGCTGTATATGATATCTATGCGATAAAAGAATAGAGAAAAGAAAAACATATAAAAAATAGGTGAACCGCACTAAAAATAGATATGTCAGAATATATATCTAGTTATGTTAGATGCCAAACATAACAAATTCTGATAATAAAGGATAATATTCAATCCGAAAATAAGTGAGGCTGAGCCTCAAGGGCTGAAAACTAAGTGAGGCTTAAGCCTCTTGAGCCTCCACGCTCCGCCGCCACTGCATATATATATATGAAATATATAATCGTGAAAGAGATGATTTTCTTTTGATAATATCTATAAGTACTAGATAAAATGACTAGATTCGAATCTAGGTGAATATCAATATTTTTATCTATGTTTAAAACTCATTGAATTGACTAAATTTATAGATGATTTTATTCTTGAAAGTCTTCGTTTCTTATTTCAAATTGAGTTTGGCATTTGATAACACGAAACTGTAAAATAAAGAACGGAAACTTAAGCGATTCGATGAGTTTTTATTTGCTATATATCTAAAAACTGATAATTAGCTATATTGCTGTTATAGTACGAAGGTTGGTATCAATTTATTCAAAGTAAAGTATTATTTTTACTTGAATTCTTCCAGATTATCTTGATTGACAAAATAAAATATGTTCAAAAATTATTTAGTGTGGAGAGAGAAGTATAGAATAAATTATTGAACTGTATTTTACTACGACAGACTTGAGATGCACATGTTTATCATTTGAAAAGACAAAATACGTATAGCACTTTATGATAAGAAACATTGTGTCATATTGTTGATTGATATGATTGAAAATTTTTCACATGAATATAGTTTTATTGTTCTAAGGATCATCTGTTTAGCTCGTAAAAGCTGAATCTCTTTCCTACAGACCATTGTATTACGTGCTATAAAAAGAGGTAATAGAATCTTCCATGCAAAAGCTACTAGTTTCTGAGACAAAGAAAATCAGATCGATAAAACGGTTGGCAAGCACAATTTTCTATTTGAAAATTTCTGTTTGCTCATAAATACAATATGAATTTTGTCTGATATCATTAGAAATGATGTGAAACGATAGTATAAAATTACTTCATAAGTTAATAAATAAGATAAGTATGATGTATGCACCTAGATTGTTGTCGTTTGTTTTATTTAGTTCTTTGAACCAATATAGAATTAATTGTGGTCGCAATATCAAGAGTTTCTTTAAATGTTTTCAGTTCCTGTTGCATGAGATGATTTCGAACTGTGGAATTCAGTAATCCTCCAACAAAAGTTATAATCAAAGCGTCTTCATAAAAATCACCTGGAAATTGACATGTTGTTGAATTACCTCGAAGTTGATTAGCGAAATCCATAAGTGATTGAGAAGACGACTGTTTCATAGAGAAGAACTTAACTCGCTCAGTTGATGCAAATGTAACACGTGTGTAATTCGTACGTAATTTTAATATGATTTCGTCATACGTATATTCTGTATGTTTCTTTGATTTACAAATTAATATAAGAGTTTTAAATCCAGGTCAAACAAGCGCGATCGTAAACGATCGTATACGGAGAAATACGACCGCGCGCGACCGTGTTTTACCGTATTACCTGAGATCGTAATGATCGTCCTGGGAATGGTTGAACACCAAGAGCAAGGATAAGTAAATACAGTTTCTTAACATCATCAGTAACACCTTCCATAGAAAGATACGTATCGAATAAAATTTTCCATTCATCCCATTCATATGATGATGGATCGAATTTACGAATACAACAGTCATTTTGACTTTGTGAGAGTTCACCAGCGTTGGGTTCCAACATTTCTCGTCGCCAATTGTCACATCCTGAAGTGTGAGTGTCGAATGATATTTTATTGTAAAATATACTGCTCCCCACACGTCTATATATATCATAAAATATGCGTAGAAAAAGGAATATTCCAAGAGGGAATACTCCTAGTAATACAAGAAAACGAAAGAAAACATATATGTGAATATATCCGAAGATCATGTATAGAAAGGAAAAGGAAGAACTAAACAAAGCGAACGATAATAATCTAGGTTTATACATCACAGTAAGATCCATTAGAATATCATCGAAATGCGCTTTCGATTACTTTGAAACATATTAGAGATCATTGCGAACGAGAGATCAAGAAGGTAACATTCCTCTTTCTTATCTGGGGAAAAAATGTTTTGATGGCATTCAACATTTTCGACTATAACACAGGCATATTGAGAACGCAGAAACTCTATTTTTACGATTAATTCTCGCTCATCTTAAAAAGACCTTTCAACATTTTCAGGAATTAAATGAAGTTCATATGGTTTCATCGAGACTCGATATTATACCATCATTTGAGTAAAAGAAAAGTTAAATTCTTTCATTTTACATCTAAAAGCGCCATCTATTTGTCTTTAAATACAGAAAACTTTTACTTCAAATCTTCAATACATATTACAATATCTCAATGTGTCTTAATCCTCCTTCGTATTATTTTCTTAACCATCCTTGACATGTCACTGCATATCCTATGTCGGTCACGTTCCTAATTGGTTATTTAGAAAACTCAAACCCAAGTCGATACCGTCGCCATCATAAATGTATATTAGCATTCTTTCATCATTAATCATTCATTTTTATGACTTTCATAATTTCGTATATTCTCTTTCAATAAAATATACAAACTGAATAATAATTTTCTAAAACAAACACATTCACAGAAATGTCATCATTTAAATGGTGAAGATACATTTTTTTTATCAGATAAAATTTATTTGATCATCATTTTTAACTAAAGATAACTATGATGAGAGAACAAACATAGAATCAAAACTTTGTTGTACCAACATTCATTATAATAACTGATGGGTTTTTATAAAAGTTAAAATTATTCAAACAACAACATGTAAGATAATAAAAAATTCCTTATTTATATAATATTCATTCTTTTATTTTTTATAGTCAAAATAAAGTGACAAGAAAAATCTTTTCAACGTGAGAAAAACACCAATAAAAATACAACGGATATAGAAATAACTCATATTACTAAATACAATCAATTAGCAAAAGCAATATCTAGAATAGTTGAATAAAAAATAACAAAATCAAATATATATATATATTATTTAAATTCTTCATTCTTTCAGATATCATTAAACATTACTAAAATTTTTAATTTGACCATCATCTGGTTGTCTACTACGTTTATTATTTTGTGAATAATTTGAAAAAATAATTCGAGCTCCTCCTCCTGTTCGATTATTATTATTATTTGTTAATGGTATAGATGATTGTTGAGATTTAACTCTAGTATTAAATGGTGCTTGTGGTATATAAGTAAGTTGATTTAATTGATTTTTTCGATGTTGATTACGTTCAACAATAATTGCTTGTATACGTGCAATTTGTAATAATATAACCACAATATTTTTAAAAACAAAAAAATAACTTGTATAATCGTGTTTACCACAACCAAATATAGCATAAATTCGTACAATAAGAAATGGTAGATCCATAAGAAATGTGACTAAAAGTGAATTTGTTAAAAATGAATGTAATTCTTTTAATTTATTATCTTTAACTTCAGGTACATAGATAATAAATTGTAAACAACTTATTGACCATACACATAAAGTAGCATAAACAAGACGTGAATTAAAATATAGTTGAGGATATGATAATAAATCAATAAAATCTAATAAATCCATACCAGTTGCAAAATAATTAAATAATAAATTAGTTTTACCAAAATATGATATCGAATCTTGTTTAGGTAATAATGCACGAAGTATAAGAAGAAGAAAAAGATAGACTTGTATTTCAACTTGTGACCATATATATTTAAAATTTTGTAAAAAATCTTTTGGTTTTACCCATGGTCCTTGTACATCACCAAATCGTGTTGGAATATGATGAAATGATATCGTTACTGTTTTCCATCCATCTTGTTTAAGTTCATTTATACGATGTAATTCAAGTACCCATATGGAAGCAATTATTGTTATTGAATAAACAAATACAAGAATTGAAAAACCACGAAAATATTCTTTACATCGATATAAAGCAAGAGAAAATATTGCTTCAACACCGAATAAAATTGTACCAAACATCGGAATAAAATATAAATATGTTTTAGCCTTGATAGAATAAAGAACATAAATTGAAAGACTCATATGAATAGCACATAAAATATGAGCAATAATAAGACGAATAAAACGATGTCGAACGATGATCGGTTTAGTCTTCATATTTCTTTCTAAAACAACGAATTTAATACATGAGCTTACAATAGACTGTTTGTTTAGACGTTAAAAAAATACATTTGATTATAAAATCAGAAATATTTATATAGTTCTGTTATTTCCTACTAAAGGTCGCTTTGGTATTTCGTTTACACCGTCTCATATGTAATGAAGCGTATGAATCTTATAGAATATTTCGCTTTTTTTT